ACTGTAGGGAGGCAGCAAACGTCCATTCTGCTGGAAATAAAGTCATCCTTCAAAATAAAATTGCATCTGCCTCTGGGGGTGGCTAGCCCTTGGTGTACATAGGGCATGTGCTTCATAGACAAACATATGAGGGTGTGTATTAGAAACAACCCCACTAGGAACCTAGAAAAATTACAAGGCTGCTCATAAAGAAAACATGATTTTTAGGAACAATAGTAAGTCTGTGGATCAAACAAATCCCCACCCATCAACTCAAGACACGATTTGGGAGTTTTGCTGGTTAATATGCTTTGTTTCTATTATTCAGCTCAGAAGGTGTGCTTCCATTGCACCCTATCAAAATCTCTCTCAACAGGCGAGGTGAGGAGAAGATTATAACACAACCGCCCTTGGGCCAAGCTTGAAAATCCTACTGGTCAACCACCCCATATTGTAAGACGCTGTGGTTTTTAGACACAACTACACAGACTAGTTGAATAAAGACCAACTCCAGACTTGATGTTGCTGAGCTCCTCAGCTCCATCTTGCCATCCTGATTGATCGAGGAGATGGTCTATGGTCTAAGTGGCACAGCACTCTGAGGGCTTAGTCATTAGAGCACTCTGCTTTGTCGTGGGAAGGCAACTTCTTGCTTGGCTAGTTATGGAAGCTAAGGAGTGACTTCAAGATGCTGTCTGGCCAGAATTTGCAGATAACCATAGAACTCTTCTCCTCCATCAGGCTTGGATTTAGCCTCCTTTGGTTCCTGCAGTGATGCAGGAGCCTCCAAATACCAAATTATTATCAGGCGGTCTTGGGGGAACCTCTGGGCCCTGCAATAAAGTAGACAGACTTTCTATTGGAAAGTGCTCAGGAGCAATTCAGCCCTGTTCACATCACTCTCAAAATCTTGCAAATCATCTCTGGACATGGTAAATGCACAGCTTCTGATAGTGCAAAACTATGTCAAAGGGCAAGATTGCACATTATATCTCACTGAATCGATCATATGAATTAGTTGAAGAGCCCTAATCTAATGGTGGTTTTTGCTTGTTTGTTGTTTGCTGTTTCAAGCAAAGCTATGGACTCAAGGACGGCCATATCACTTTGGTCAAGCCATTTCCAAGCATTGTCTACTAAATGAGGTGTTTACAGCAGGAAGTCCTTACAAGCCATCTCAGAGGGACATTAGCAGTCAGTGAGCCTGATCGGATCCACACTAATGCTTAGCATTTGAAATCTTGAACCATTCAAATAACAACAATTGCCTACTTTCTCTGGGAAACTTGCAGCATCTGGTCAGACCCATGCCCTAAGGTGGTCTTTATTATTTCATATTTTTCCATGATAGCCCATTCCTCTGACTGACTTACCAGACTCCTAAAAATGTGGTGCAAGAACTTTCGTAACACTCCTAGCTCAGTGATTGTCACACTGCATTTGATTATGTGATGACCCAACCTGGCCTCTCTGGTGAGGCTCACTGCAGTCAGAAGCAAGCCATCCCTTCCGCCAAGCCCCTCGTTCCTACAGAAGCACTACCTTTAATCAACAAATACTTAACATACTGAAACGCATCATCTAGGATGTGCTCCTACACTCCAGTGAAAGGAAACAAACTTCACTCTTGGCGGCATAAGATGTGTGGCCTTAACTCAACATGTTTGAACAAACCAGTTTCAGGAAAGATCAGTAGATACAGTAGCGTGTGGTCCAAGCCTGTGACAGATTCAGACAATGGTGATGATACCCAGTCCAGTGATATTTGCTTTAAGGGTGTGAGGGAAATGCTATTAATTATCTTCAAAACCTTTGTAATAAATTTTGGTCATCACTTCTGCATCCTTTGGGAAAAGCCCACCTTGAGAGGTTATTAGAAGTCGGCTTTTATTTAGGATACTCAAAAATTAGCTATTTGAAATTCATCTCTCAGAATCTCACAGACCTAAGCGAGATAAACCTCTGCATGTCCAGTCTCTGTGCATGAGCTTTGAAATAGCTTAATTGAGGTGACTGTCATTTGTTTAGTCAAAGAAAATTTCATATGTCGTATTTTTCTAGGCTTGTCTAAATCTAGTGAAATTGCCTAGCACTTTGTTAAAAGTATAAACAATGAAAACAGCATGTACACAAGCGTGGTAGGAATAAAGGCAATGAGAATGGACTGTGAAGGACTTTTGTTACAGATCCATTAGTAACTAATACTTCAGCAATATATAGCCACATCTGGACAACATCTGGCTGATGTCAAAACCCACCATGTCCTGTGCTAGGTCATGGTTAGCAGATAAAATTTCTGCTTTCCTGGAGCTGATGTCCAACTTAGGCAGGACTGCAGAGACACACATAGAAGTGTGGCCGCACTCAGACAGAGCACAGGGCAACACAGTCTGTCAACAAACTGGAGGGAAGTATGACATTTATGTGGGGTGGGGTGGGGGAGAGGAAAGAAGGGTCAATTCTTCTTCATTCCCACTTTTTTAAAATAAAGTATCCACAGAAGATACGTGGTTTTTTAAAATTATTTTCAAAAATCATCAAAGATAATGTCTGGGGGTAAAACAGTTTTAGTTGTGTATGATTAGATGGGTCTGAGAGTATGAAGCCTGCAAGGGTGTTTGTGTGGAGGGCTCAGTGGGACATTGTGAGGAAGGGATAGTTGGAGAGACCTCAGCACTCCACAGCCCAGGACAGAGGCTGGAATCTAGTCCTTCCAAGTGTTGGTGACATATCACGACTGAGCCACAAAAACAAAAGGCCTCCAGAAATAACCACGATATTTTCTGAAATCTCTGTGGATCCTAGATTGAATAGATGACTTTTGCAAACCTCTTAGGACTCTGAGGGAAGACTTTCAGCGAGGTCACAAACTCTGCAGCCATACCTACTTCTTTCACACCTTCCCTTTAAATAAAGGAAGTTTTCTTTTAAAAAAAAAGATATATTTCTTTCCTTTTTGAGGTTACAACATAATTTATAATTTTCCCTTTTTCTTTCCTCCCTGTAAGCCCTCCCGTATGCCCACTCCTTGTTCTCTTTCAAATTCTTGGCCTCTTTTTCCATTTACTGTTGTTACATATATACATAACATATATATGTATAATAGATATATATCTATATCTTGATAGGTAGATAAATAGATAGATAGATAGATAGATAGATAGAGATAGATAGAGATAGATAGATAGATAGATAGATAGATAGATAGATAGATAGATAGATAGAGATAGTAAACAGATGACGGATAGATAGAGACAGACAGATAACTATTTCTAAATACATACAATCTGCTCAGTCTATATAATATTACTTGTATGTATGTTTTCAGGGCTGATAATTTGGTATTGGATAATTAATTCATGTGCTCTTCCCTAGGAAAGACTAATTCTCCCACTCTTCACATGCTTTAGTTGCCTGTAGTTCTTTGTGTAAGGTTCAGGCCTTTGTGTTTTCTTTCATCTACATCAGCATGTCTCTTACTGGTCTTGCTCATTTGTTCTTACTGGACATATTGGACCAATGGTCTCTGCTTGATGATTCAGCCTTACTTCTTCTCCATTGAAAAGGAAAGTGAACTTTATGTTAATTTAGTCAGCCTCACCTATCCAGCCTTGGGCTGATGGAAGTGCAGCCCCCAACCTAGTCTTGGTGGAGACAGTGGTGTCAAAACAATATGTTCCTAGAAAACACAATGATAAAGTTCCCAGATTCTCTTACCACAATACCCCACAGACATCTCAAGAATCCTTGGTGATGCCAACCTCCACAAAGAATGCCTAATTCTAACCAATATTTCCTCTTATCTTGGTCACACCACAGTTATTAGAACTAATAACACCATGACTTTGAACAAAACTTAATGTTCAAGGAGTTTACTAAACTTTATACTTTTATACTTATATACTTATCATGTCATATAACAAACACAGCTAAACTCTTTGATGGGGCCCAGTCTCACACATCACAGACTTATAATAATGCTAATTCTGATACTTAGTTCCAACTCCAATCTTAAACATACCTTAAGGTAAGTGCAAATGAATAGAAAGAAGTGACAAATGTTTCTTATATACAGAGAAATCTCATTGCTAAACCCTCTCATCCAGTGAATTTTCAGCAAAATATCAGTCTCCAAAACTAACTTTATAATTGTCCTCTTTAGCCTCCAAGACAGAGCAGAAATTGAGGCAGGATATAGAGACTGCTAGATAGAGGACAGCCACCTCATCGGTGCCAGGGAGTCTCTGGATCAGGGCCATCTGATGCCCTATCTCCTAAGGCCTCTTATTCATGTATGAGAGAAGGCCTGTATTCCAATGGAGAAGGCCCGGGCATTCATTATGCTTTGGATTCTCTGCTGCTCTTAAGGTCTTGTTCCATGTTTTATATCTGGTTGGTAGTAGCCCAGGAGATAGGAAAACCTGCTCCAGCTTGCCAGTAAAGGCTGATGGGTTAACATCAGTATTAGAAGCAAAGTCATCCTCTTTCTTATACTCACGCTACTTGATATAACGGTTGTAACAGCTCAAGGCCTCATGCTAGAAGTTAGGATGAGAAAAGAACAACCCCAAAATCAATACCACCTGTATAAAACACAGAGCCTTCCTGACTGTCTCGAATGAATGCTTTAATTGCTCTCAATAAGCCAGAATTGAGTTCCATCAATTGCCTGTCAACTATAAATGATGCATGTGCATTCTAATGACACTTGTCTTTTTTGCCTCCAGCCTTCTCCAGGTAAGCATGCTTGATTACAACTTCATGTTGACAAACGATTGTGGAAAATGGATTCCAAGAGAAGTCCACATTTGCCCACAGTTCCCATCCCGGAAGGAGACAAACCCTGAGAATTCCCCAAGTGACAAATGAAAGAATCTAGCGTGTAGGCCAAAGAGTGCAAGAATCCTCAAATATTCCACTGCCCTCAGCCCCCAGGCAGCCTTGTCAGAGGCTCTGATAAACATAATCGTTGAGATGGCTATGCAGTAAATGGGTCAATAAGTATAAACAGCTGTACTTACATGTGTCTGGCTTGAGCTGACTGTTAGTAATGCCAAAGTACTGGGGGTTTTCAATAACAGGGATCTTGGTCATTCCAATAATGACAGCATCGGGACCACCCTCTGAAGAGGATGGAGTGTTACTCCCGTTGGAGATGTGGTGGAGGGGGCTGGCAGAGTCGTCGTCATTGCTGATGACTGAAGCCGGGCCTGGAGTTGGAAGAAGCACAGGCATTCTGTAATTTAACAGCTTCAATTGACCTTTAATTTACATGCATTCCAAACATGTAATTTCCATGTGTTTTGGTATGTTCACAGAGTGTTGCAGTTGTCTCTACAATCTAATTTAAGACATTTTCCTTGCCCCAGTTAGCATTTCTCTCCCATTTCCCCCACCCCCCAGTTCCAGACATCCACAAATTTACTTTCCTACTCAGAGTTAACAAACCTTGCATTCCACATAAGTGCAGCCAACATGATTGGTGCCTTTTACTTGGCATTGTGTTTTTAAGGTTAACTCTCATTGCCATGTGCCAATACTTCCTTTTCATTGTTTAGTGATCCTAAGTTGGACAGATCTGGCATCCACTGTTTATCTGCCCCTCTGCCCACTGAAGGACTTAGGACTCTTGTGCCTAATACGAATAATGCAACTATGAACACACATGTACACATTTTTGTGCGGCGCACACTTCCATCACCCTTGCAGAAGACTGGTAAATTCTAGGGAAGGTCTGTGCCTGACCTTTTGAGTGTCTACCAAATGTTTCTCAAAGTGGTTGCACATTGTTGTGTTAGTCAGTTACCATCAACGTGTGAGGGTTTCAGTTTCTTCGTTTCCATTTTCTGTGAGTGTACGAGCAGCTCCCAGGACCCCAGGTTCTACATACACTTTAAGAGCATCCTGTCACTGAACTGTTGACACAAAGCCAGGACACCTGCTTCTCTGAAAGTGATGTTGCAGATTTGGAGAACTGAATTTCCTAGTTTCACACTTGTATGAACCTTCCTACTGCCTCTACATCTGCTTAGAGTTGGGGACTGGACTATGCTAGAGAACACCCAGTTGACATTTTATGGGACTGGAGTGAGATTAGTGTTAGGAAAACACATTACAAACTTAAGTGGATGGAGTCCATGACATTACTGAGATCTCTTTATATTATAGCAATGGCTGTAGCATTATCTATACAAGAGTTAATTTTTAATCCAACAACTCTACTACATTTGTCCAACCAATATATCAGTTTACCCAAGTCAACCAAAGGAAGTTCACAAAGAGAAAAATGTATGAGAAGATTCCAAAACATTGAATATCACATGGATAGGCACTTCACATGTGGAAGTCTTTTAGACATGGATCACACATGGCTGTGAAATTTTTGGAATGAACACACTGTCCCTAGAGACAGTGGGAAGGAAAAGAGCAAGGACAAAGCAGGGCAGAGTGAAAGGGCAGAATCAAAGACCCAGACAAAGCAAAATGCTTGCTAAAGAAGAGAACTCAGTGTTGCACTTCCGGCTAAAGGAATGTGTTTTCACAGTACCTCTGTGCATTCTCCACTTTTTCCTCATCCTCAATTACTTCCATGTAAAGCAATTACAAAAACAAAGGTTGTCTTGCCAGAGTCTGATACAGTCTGAATCCCTATTCAATATAATGATAATCCACCCACCAAACTCCAAGCTCCATTTTCTCCCCTATGGGGATTAGTGTAGTTTGTAGTGATAACAATTGGATATTCTCCAGCTACTTGTGTCTTAAACAAAGTATGCAGCGGGGGGCGGGGGGACAGCCTACTGTTATTACCAGTGATTTTTAAAGCAGTCTCTCAAAGGGAGAGCATTTAAGTTGTGTTTAATAATACACTCTGGCTTGATTCTGCAAACATGTCCTCACACAGCCAACTTAGAAGCCACACAACACTCAAAGCCAAGGCAGGCCTGTCGGTTATGCTCATCTGTGTTCACAAACAGTGAAAATACTGCCAAGAAGAGCTGTAAGGACATGTTCTTACTAATATCCCCAGCCATCTCCATCTTGTGATCTGGTTTCTGACAAGCCTAGATCACTCAGCATCTCACCAGTGACAGAAACAGAGATGTATTATGATTGCATTTCTGTACATTGTCAGGAAAGCTTTCTCACCCCTGGCTCCCTTGATAGGTCCTCAGAACAACTGTTTCCTCCTGTAGGGCTTCCAGCTACCAATGCCTGCCACCCTCAGAACCCCCAGGGGAGGCTCAGTCAAGGCCACCTATTTCTCCAAAGATTCTAGGCTCCATCTTGACCCCTAGAGAAGGAGAAGTTGTCTTCTTTAAATACTCCATGTGTTGTGACAAAGCTCCTTCCGGATCCTCAATAGTAATTAGAAACATGTTGGCTTCAGTTCTTCTCTGGCCCCCGGTGAGGCTGCGAGAATCACAGAAGTGTTGTGTTTTGAGTACAAGACAATGGAGATTTCTCCAAGAGTCCAGCTCTGATTCACCTGCCAGCTGCACCCTGGAGCCCCTGTTTACAGTGACCTCCTGCTTGTATCAGAGCAAAAAATTCACTCTCTCCTCCAAGTCCATCAAAGCAGTTCCCAACTGACTAACTAAGAATCAGCTCCTCATATAACTTAGTCAAAGAGAGAAGAGCTGAGGATGCCATGACTACACAACAGAAGAGCCTAACCCCAGTCTGGCACTCCTAGAGAGCAAGACAATTTTTTGTAAGTTTTTTTTTTTTTCACTTTGCAGAAAGTTGTCGTTGACAAATGGAGCATCACAAACCTCAACAATTCATCAGAGAAATGTTAATTCAACTGCCATTCCCCTCATTACTGAAGCTTCCAAAGCCTGGAAGATTGATACGGCTGGCAAGGTTGTTGGAATTAAGGCCATTTTTCTATGAACATCTTAATATAATGGAACGCAGAGCACAGCAAAGTTGGGAGGGGAGAAAAGCTCCCGATGGGGACAATGAATGTCTATATAATTTGACAGCAGCCTGTCTGCACATTTTATGATTTGTGTCTTTGTGTGTCTGTGCACGTAGCTGAGCAGACATCACACAAAAAGAGACAGAACTCAGGGGCACATTACAGCATATTATAAGAAACTCAGATGAGAACTTGAAAACTGTTGTATAATATTAATACAAAGTTTTAAATTGCCGAGAATGTACTCAGCTACTGAATTTGAGGTAGTTAGTTCTAATTACAAGGCTGATAAACAAGAAGCAAAATGGAAACGTTGTAGCTCTTTTATTTATTTCAATATAAAAAATTTAAAAGAAGTACAGAGAGACTGCTTTCTCTCGTCAGAGCTACATGGTAACGTATCCTATGTATTTGATTTTGTAGATGTTTCTGAGTCTAAGTGAGCATATTTTCCAGTGGTTAAAATGGCCATTTGGGAAATAAGTTCCCTCCTCAGTACCAGCAACGCCTTCAGAGGAGGGAGGCACGGCCACTCTTAAAGAGCTGACTGTCTTGCCCATGCTCTGCTTTCTGTCGGCTGATGCTTTGGCCCCTGGGCGCTGCTGCCCTGTCTCCAGATAGAGTAAAGGCTCTACCCATAAATTCATCTTCCACACATAGACCAACACAGCCCGAATCTCCAGTCAACTGCCTTGTGGCCCTACATTCCAGGCCACTAGCCAACTGTCCCACCCCCCTGAGGCCAGATGCCAGAGAACTCAGGAGAGCATGGAAGGAAGCCTATGGATTTACTGTAATCAGCCAGTCCCTGAACTGCCTGCTGTGCCTCCCTGGTTCCTTCCCATGAAAACAATAAGAAAGGCTCTTGCCTGCATGGCCCTCCTGACTGACCATGGGGTGGGGGCAGGGGCACTTTCCCTGTGCAGCCACACACCATGGCATGACATGTTTCCTTTTGGAAACTCTATGTGCTAAGCTCTCTTTATGGTGTTCCTGTTTCCTGTTGGCCTCACCACTCTTCATGAGTACAGCAAATGCCTCTGGTAGGTCTGTATCTGGGACATTCAGAAAAACATACCATACTGCCACTTAAGAGAGCAAAACACACTTTTGAATGTCTCTGAGGGCAGCACCTTTCTGAACTTAGTGTCTTGAAAGCACTGAGGCAGTACAGTGATTAGCTATACTATAGAGGGAGACTGGCTCACTGTCCTCTGCACACACATCCCTGTAACACAGGGAACCCTATGGACCCACTCTCTAATGGCTCTGGCTATCTGTGAAATGTGCCTTTTGGGAGCTTCCTAGAGCCCCATGATGCTGGAGCTCAGTGATCCAACTTGGTCCTGTGTCTGCTTTCCCACCATTTGGTAAGAGGCTCTGCATTAGAATCTTTGAGGCTGCTGAAGGAGGACTTTTCCCTCCTCCAGAATTTGCCCAGATGGTCTGTCTGAGCTTGAGCTAGGTCCCTTGCTCATTTGTGCATCCCTGGACAGACACTGCTAGAGAATATTTGACTGCACAAGGTCCCATGTCAGGGTCAAAAAGATAAAGGAAGGAGGCTTCCTTGTATGGCTGGCCTAAGCAAACTCAAGGCAGAGAGCTCGGAAATGGGCGGCTTCCTTGCACATGCCCACTGCTTAGACATTTTATCTATAGCTAACATTGCTACTGAGAGGAACAGTGAGCGAAAGACTCCGTCTATGATGGTCAAATCTCAGAAATTCACAAGAACTACAGAAAGCTGTTTTTCATGGTCTCCACCCACTTTCCGCTCTTTGTCTTTGTATCCACAGGAAATACCAAGCAGAGCAGCAGTCCTGAGGTGGCACACCTGATCTGGGTCCTAGGCCTGAGCTGCGCCATCTGCATTCGGTCTTTGAGCTACATACCCTGCTCTTCAATTGTCTGTATTTTGTTTGAATGTGAGAAACAGAATGCAATCAAGCACAAATCACAGCGTCTGGATGTGGACGTCTGGTTTTTTTTTTGTTTTGTTTTGTTTTGTTTTTTTGGTTTTTTGAGGGAAAGAAAATCGTTATAAATGAACAGCTAATTTAGCAGTTCAGAATTCTATTGCACCATAGCCAACAAGGCAGAGTTAAGAGCCAAACTTGCCCAAGCTCTCCTGCTCAGCCAACTGCACATGGCACTGTGGCCCTGGTGAAGTCTAATCTGTGTTTCTAACCTTCAAAACTCATCACTGCCTAGAACAGAGGCAGCAGTGAGCACACCCGTTAGATTAAAATCAAGTCAGCTTCACAGGTGCACAGCTACTGACTGCAC